TATCTGCCTATTGGTTTAGGCAGCAAAGTGGTGCCACTATCTTGAGTGGTGAATTGGGTGCTTGCTAGCTTGATGGTCCAATGGGTTTCTTTCTGGGCAAGTGGCCTGGTGTCACATGACCAACACCTGACAACTTTCGAATAGGGCAAGTGGTCAGTGTCACGTGACTGGGTGGCTAAATCATGGGTGCTTGATGGTCATGTGGTAGACACAGTCATGTCCATAATGTATGTGGCAGCATTGTGCTGTTTGTCCAAGTATCCATGTTGCGAGACCAATATGAAGGTTGGCGTTCGGATAACCACTCAAATGAGGACTTTAATGGTGAAAAAGAAAGGTGCCACTTAATACTGTGACAAAGTGGGGTCTACTTGGACGGTACAAGAAAACAATTCCATCAAGTCCTCAAACAGGGGTATCCAATTCTAGGGAACTCGGTGCACGTTGCGGCCTCTGCACCACTTGAAAAAACAGAGAGAACCACTCTGAAGTATCCATCGCTACGGTACTTCGCCCGAGGAGGGAAAAACAGGGAGAACCACTTTGAAGTAGCCATCGCTACGGTACTTCACCAGACAGGAGATTCTCGGAGAAGTGGAACCTGGATACTTGTTGCGGCAAGGTACCTGCTGAAGGCAGTGTCGACTTGAGCCCCATCCTCATCGGAGGCACTGGGTATACAGAAGACGCCGGTTAAGGGCCACCGAAAGAAGGCACCCAGACCTTGCCGAGGCCAGTTTTCAATCGAGAAAATGGGGATAGGAAGGACGATTGGTTATAGGACACCAAGCAGAGGAAATCAAAAGCCAGAACGATCAAGCGCTCAAACGGGAGTAGGCAGGAGTTCGAAGTGACTAGCTGGACACTTTAAAAAGTGAGCATAGGATATCCGAGGTCTGGAAAAGAAGACTAGGACTCTGACTGGTTGACGTTACCAGGCAAATCAAAAGGCGTACAAGATTGGTTAAGGGCCACCAAAGATCAAAAGGCAGGAGTGCGGAGTTTTTGTTACAGGAACGAACTCAAGCACTAGCGATTACTTGTGTGGTAATCCAGAAGAGAAGCCCTCATCTGAGGCACACGTTGAAGATGTGCTAAAGCCCTTCCCAGGGAAGGCAATTAAGGAACCTTAGGTCAAGACAAGATTCAAGACGAATATTTCACGAGAACACGACCAGGTATCTGAAGAAGATACACCAGAAACACGACCGGTGACTTCTGACGAAGAAGTATCACCATTTACGCTCAGTGACGCCACCACAGAGGAATTAACAGACCTCTACGATAAAAAGTCGACAGAAGCGGTTCAACTTCGACTTCAATTTAGGCTAGGACGAGCCTACGAACCAACAGATCACCCAAGGCTAGAGCAGCTCGAGGGTGAAATCGAAGAAATAAGACAAGTTCTTCGTGGAAGGGAAAACTTTGACGAAGAATCTCTACGACTCTTTGACGAAGCAACAGAACTTCCACGACGAGAATCAATCCAAGTTGAATGACAGGAAGGGCGTTCACAGGAAACTGGTGGATTACAGCCCGTTAATTTTCTCGGAGCAAGAGCAGTCCCGCTCGAGAGATCTATCTCAGACAGTACTACTCGACCAGATTATCCAGGAATCACACATCTTAGGAGGGACCAGCCACCCCATCTACCCAATGCACCTGGAATCACACGTTCAGTTTCAACTGGATCAAGACCAACCAGTAGCTTCCAGTTCTCAGGAAGCATGGCTACCCACGCACGATACAACCCGGCTCTCGGACCACCAGTTCATCCTGGAACTTGCACCGATGCCATCTGGAATGAGTACCAACAAGCATTGGGAATGTACGCACAATACCAGGGAGCAATTCCCAAGCAGCCAGTGGCACGGGAAAAGAAGATGGGAAAAATCAAGGAGTTTAGGGGAGACAAGCGAGAATATGCATCGTTTCTCCGAAACGTGGAACAATACCTATTGGCAAATGAAGGAGTCTACAGTGACGACTTCAGCAAAATTGCCTTCGTCCTCTCCCAAATCGACTCCTCATTCACAGCAGGAAAGTGGGCCGAGTCATGGGAAGCCAACCAAATGGCAAAACACAGCAATCTTGGGACGTACCAGGATTTCAAGACGACGCTTACCGAAAAGTATGGAGGTGTCGCAACCAAGGACCAAGCCTGGCAAGTACTTCTCGAAGGAAAATACAAGCAGGACAAGCAAACCGTCGACGAGTATATCGGAAATCTCGATATCCTCTACCGATATGCCGAAATCGACGACGAATACGCCAAGCTCATCCACTTCAAGCGAGGCCTTAATGAGAAACTTGCAGAAAAAGTCTTCATCACGGAAAATCTGCCAACGACCTATGCAGCAGCATGCAAGGCCACAAGAAAGGTCACGAACCTCCAGGATATTCATAGCGGAAAGACAAATATCTTCAAGTTCATCTCAGGCTCTTCAGGAAGCGGAAGAAGGATGGAGAAGGACCTGACGCAATGGACATTGATCGGATCTCCCCAGAAACCCATCAGAAACGTTCTGTGAGTGGACTCTGCTACAACTATGGAAAGTCAGGACATGTCGCTGCACAATGCACGAGTCCAGAATATGATCCGGCACCAGATCGCTCAGGAAAGACAACTTCATATGCCAAAACCAAGACGTCCAATTCCAGGACGAAGAAATACTCCGGATCTGGCAGACGAAGAAAGACTTCCAAGCTGACTAAATCTTACTCCAAGAGAACGGAGAGGAAACACCGACGAGTAAAGAGAGTCGAAGAAAGCGACTCTGAGGACAACTTGGAGGAGTCGGAACAGGAAGAATCAGAATCCTCATCATCAGAAGAATCAGAATCTGAGTCATCAGAATCTGAAGAAGTATCCGAACAAGAAACGGTTGTTCACAGGGTACGAAGAACTCGTCCTGTTAAAACCAAAACAGTTCGCAAAATCAGACGAACCAAGGACGAATCCAGTGACTCAGAAGAAGAGTCATATGTGATTCAAAGATTCATTCTCAAGGAAGAACTCGCCAGGATACAATGGGAAGATGCACTCAAAATGCGAGGAGACCGTATTAAGAAACGCAATATGACGATGCCCCATCTCGACGATCTTCTGGAATTCGGAGACAATTCAGATAAATATGAATATGCACGCCGATATCCACCACCCATGGAAAAAGATGATCCAGAGAGTTTTGAAATTGGGTGCACGTTGGGATCTTGTGGCATCCAGATAAAGAAACGGTCCCCGAGGAAGTAATCATACGAGACGATATTAAGCGAGGAAGCGAAATATACCTCAATATCGTCTTTCAAGATTACGATGGCACAAGAACCCGAAGTATTCCAGCAAGAGCCTTAGTCGATTCTGGAGCAAAAGGAATGTTCATCAATGAATCGTTTGCGAAGAAAGCAGGACTCCACCTTCTCAAATCGCAGAAGGAAGTCAAGATTCGCAGTGTTGATGGAAGTCTCATCAACTCTACAAACCAACGATTCAAAGGAACTGTTCATGCAGGAACGTACGAATGGAATGATGACTTCCTTGTCATCGACTTAGGAAAAGAAGACGTGATCATTGGCAATACGTGGCTTCATGATCACAACCCAATTATCAATTGGCAAACGGGTGAAGTTAAGGTCCATCAATATGTAGAAGACGTACCAGATGAGGAACCATGGCCTTTCAAAGATGAAGATGCTGTTCATCTTCCAATCACCAAAAAGGAGAAAGCCAAAGCCAAGCGAACCTTGAAAAGGATCGACTGGTTTGATGTCGATCCTGTACTGGATGAAGCAGGAACCATTGATTCGGACCTCTTGCTTGCATACATAAAAGGAGCACGGTACTTGGAGGATCAGGAAATAGGAGAAAAAGAAGCTATTTTCGTCTATCAACCTGACACTGGCATACTCCAAGAAGTAACACTTGAAGAGAAAGAACATCGCTCAGCTGGAGAAAGGAAGATGCAGTATCTTGCACTGTGACGAACGAATGCTTCCCAAAAGGATCATCACCAAACATGGAAAGAAGGTGATACCTTCTGGAAGGCATCAAATAAAGCGCAGGAACTCGCACAAAAGAAAGCACTCAAGGAGAAGAAGAATTCCAAGAAGAAAGTGATGATACCATCGTATCTTCTCAAATACAAGCGAATTTTCGAAGAAAAGGCATCGGAACGGTTACCACCGCATAGATCTTACGATCACAACATAGACTTCAAGCCGGACTTTGTTCCTAAATGAGGAAAGGTCTATAATCTATCAAAGCTGGAAGAAGAAGCTATGAATGCCTTTATCGACAAAAATCTTGTGAAAGGATACATTCGTCCTTCGCAATCTGCGATGGCATCACCTTTCTTCTTTGTAGGAAAGAAAGATGGCAGGCTACATCCATGCCAGGACTACCGCTATGCGAATGAAGGAACGATTAAGGACGCCTACCCACTCTCACTCATATCGGACCTAATGGATTGACTCCGTCATGCCAAGTATTTCGCAAAGCTTGACATTCGCGGAGCATATACCAATGTTTGAATTCGTCAAGGAGATGAGTGGAAGGCTGCCTTCATCACCAAGCGTGGATTATTCGAACCAACGGTCATGTTCTTCGGAATGTGCAATGCACCGGCAACCTTTCAGTGAATGATGAATGAAATATTCGCAGAAGAAATTGCTGAAGGATGGCTATTGTGCTATCTGGATGACATCCTCATCCTGGCCGAAAGCGAAAAAGAGTTGGAAAAGAAGCTTGAACGAGTCATCAAGAAGATGGTCAACAATGACCTCTATCTCAAGTTGGAAAAATGCGTATTTAAGACTATGCGCACTGACTTTCTAGGACTGGTTCTCCTCCCAGGACGACTTCAGATGGATCCAGCAAAAGTCAATGGGATCATCAAATGGGAAGCTCCAACTGGTGTAAAAGGAGTGCGAGCATTTCTAGGATTCGCCAACTTCTATCGAAAGTTCATCTGGAACTATTCTAAAATCGCAAGACCCTTAATAGATCTTACCAAGACCAAGGGCGGGAATGTGTTCCATTGGACTAGCAAAGAACAAGCCGCATTCGACTATCTCAAAAACGAGTTCGGCAAGGCACCGATACTGGTTATGCCAGACAAAAACAAGCCTTTCGTCATCGAAATCGATGCATCAGACTTCGCTACAGGAGCAGTCCTCATGCAGAAGGATGATAATGGTGACCTCCATGCCTGCGCATATTATTCCAAGTCGTTCTCCGATCCGGAACGAAATTATCAAATCTATGACAAGGAGCTACTAGGAATCATCTGCGCAATTAAGGAATGGAGACACTATCTCGATGGAACAAAGGAGCCATTCCTCATATGCACAGATCACAAGAATCTGACGTACTTCAGGCAACCGCAGGACCTGAACCCAAGACAGCGAAGGTGGCAACTCTTCTTGTCTATGTTCAATTACAAAATTGTCCATACGCCAGGACGACAAATGGTGCAAGCGGATGCACTTTCACGATTGTCCGAATTAGACAATCGACAGGATAACAAGTCACCTGCAATCCTGCTACCCGACGATCTCTTTATTGGTGCTATCGATACAGATATGGCGGAACAAATCCGACAAGCACTAACAAAAGACCCATCGGTACTTGGGTACAAGGACGGCCTAATGGAGGAACTCCCAGTTCCACGAGGAATGACAACGGATGACATCAAGGACGCTGACAATGGTTTAATCACCATCCATGGACGCGTATATGTCCCGAACACTATGGCATTGAAGAAGGAAATTGTTCAGCAATACCATGAAGCCACTCCCCCATGGTCATCCAGGAATCTGGGTTACACACCAACTTGTGCGTAAAGACTTCTGGTGGCCAGGAATGTATCACTTCATCCAAAGTTACGTCAATGGATGTGCCACATGTCAGCAATCCAAAGCTGTTCGAAACAAGATCAAAGTTCCACTACAGCCCATCGGCCCTTCACCCAATGTGCTACCCTTCAAGCAGGTTAGCGTGGATTTTATTACAGATCTGCCAAAAAGCGAAGGCTTCGATTCAATAATGGTCATGGTAGACCATGGGCTTAGTAAGGGGGTAATTCTATGTCCCTGCAAGAAGACGATCACTGCCTCAGAAACCGCTGAGCTATTCAGACGACAAGTCTGAAAACACTTTGGGCTACCTGACAAGATCATCTCTGACTGTGGAATGCAATTTGCATCCAAAGTCTTCCAAGCACTGTGCACCGCCCTCAAGATCAAGTCGGCCATGAGCACAGCCTACCATCCGCAGACGGACGAAGAAATGGAGCGAATGAATCAAGAATTGGAAACATATCTTCGAATGTATTGTGCGAAGCAACCGCATCGATGGAATCAATTTCTATCTGAAGCAGAGTTTGCGCACAATCTCCACACTCATTCGGTGACAAAGAAGTCACCATTCGAAATATGGTATGGCTACGAGCCCCGAGATAATGCCAGAACTGTTTCCTCAGGACGAGGTCCCCGACATGGATGCAAGACTCAAGCTTCTCAGTATGGTCCGCAAGGAGGCCACGGAAGGAATCATCAAGGCAAAAGCCCGTGTATCTGCCAGGATCAAAGGAGGATCTCCGACGTTCAAGAAAGGAGACAAGGTCTGGCTGGAAGCCACCAATTTGAAAAGGCCTTACAAATTGAACAAGCTAGCACTGAAGCGAGAATGACCCTTCAGGATCAAGGAGGTTCTGGGACCTCTCTCGTTCAAGTTAGACCTTCCTGCGACATGGAAGATCCATCCGGTGTTTCATGCTGTGCTGCTCACGCCGTATCGGCAGACCAGTACACATGGGGAAAGTTATTCAACACCGCCTCCGGATCTTATCGAAGGAGAGGAAGAATTTGAAATCGAGTCTATAATTGGACATCGACTATGGTGCAGCAAGAATGAATATCTGGTAAAATGAGCTGGATATCCACTCAGTGAAAGGTCATGGGTAAAAGAGATGGAAATGGGCAATGCAGGAGAGCTGCTGAATGAGTATAAAAAGAAGCACGACTTGGCCTGAACCCTCAGTCCATGCCCCAATGCCCGTGCAACATCCCGAGTGTCACGGTTTTACCTGACAAGTCATTATAGGAACAAATGCTACTAAGGAGCATATTATTTTTCATCATTTCGCATCACACAAGAAGTCACGTGATCTAACAAGATAAGATAACGAGGCATCAAGTCACATGACCTCGGATCTCTCTTGGCATTGTCACGTGACACCAAGCTCCTCGGCATGGCATCATATGTCGCAATCAGCATGTCGTCATATTGCATGCTCAAGAGGAGCTCCGTTTCTGTGGGTTATTATTAGGCAGCCAATCAGAATAATTGGGACATGTCATACGATTGTAGCACTGACCAGTAGGATAGCGTGTGACTCGCTTAGACAGTACTGTACAGTAGCATAGCAATCATGTATATAAGGACCAGCAAGACGAGGAGGAGACCTCAGTCTTATTCTCCTTCGTCCACCACTACCATCACAGAGGGGTCTTACCAGACACTCTCAGTGTGCTATACATTCTATTTGCATTCTCACTTGTGATAATGCCTCTAGCCTCGCTAGTAAGTCTTGCTCTGCGACCAGCTACTCGGCCTCGTCAGTGGGCATGTCGTACCGCCACAGCTCGTCGCTGTTGGCTCTTAGCCAGGAGACCCTCAAGGGGACTCTATATTTGGTTGTCTATCTTTGTCATCGGCATGCCGTGACACCAAGTTTCTCGAATCTGCTATCACCACTTTTGCGCATCTTATCGAAGTTCTTGAAGACGTCGAATCCCACTCCTCCCACGATCATCATTACCAGGTCTTCCAACAGCTCGGAGTCTATCTCGCTATCAGAGGGGCTGGATTCGCCATCGAGGATCTTGCCGACTTCGACCATACCAACGTCGAGTTCAACATGACCCATCCAAACCATGATGGACCATCTCATCCAGAGAGCGGATGACATCCACAAAGTCCACCTCCTGGACGACTTCAGGTCAACTCGACGACAGCCATATCTAACCCCTCACCCCAGCGGGCTAATCAGAATTCCTTATCCATTCCCATTCCAAACGGACAAGCCGAAGGTAACGCTAGAGGATGACATCGATATCGACCTAGACGGAACATGAGGAACATTCATGAGAATGAATTACCCAATGTACCTAACGGAGGAACTCCACCTGCCCCGGCTAGAGCCAGATCGATGCCAGACTATCCTAACAGCCATCTACGCTGGCCTTCCGGTGGGAATCCTCCCACCATCGTATACTCTAGATCATCTGCTACACTTTGATATTTTACCGGCAGCACTCTCATTCGCTCTGGATGCATTCAGTGTCGTACACGGTACCGTATCAAGGACAATGACAATACCAGTGGAAGAACGTACAGGAATGGTGAACATCCACATCACGGACTGGTATGAAGAAGAAGAACGGCTGCTCGAAGGTATAAGTAGTGGTTCTCCTTTCCCTCTACTGGACCATCGCCTCCTCCTACTCGAGTGGGAACTCTATGAGGAAATATACCCTTGGGACAAAGAGAACTGCCCCACTCTACCACCTCCACCAATGTCGCTCAACATCCATGTCACCACCACCATCACTCACAGCGCATCGGAGCCAGGACTGCTTCTCGACAGCGATGGAGATGAACTCCCGCTTCTAGGCAACCTTAGCGACGAAGCACTGGCCAAATCATGGAGGAATGCACGTTGGGAAGACGATGAAGACGAGACAGGTCGTTGGATGACGGGAGGATCTTGGACGATGGGTAGAGCCTGGGGTAATGACGATGAACAGGCAAGGAATGCTGACGAGGAACAACCCGGCTACCCCCACCGTCTCGGTGCCACGTACCCCTACAATGACCCACCGGAGGACGGATCACAACCTGCACCAGCCGTCACCATCAAGGAGCAGATAAGGTATGCTCGAATGGTCAAGTCTTTGAGAAACCCAGCGGCAGGACAGGTATCGCTCATCGCCCCAGACGTAGCATCACCTTACGATGTCTTCATCGCCACGCCACTAACATTCCTCATGGAAAGTGATGGCCATTGACTCTACATCCATCGTATGGGCACAGGCGACTTTGCCACCTTCCATGCCTTCGTCTTCACTTGGGACAACCAGAAGGTCATCTGGCACCTCTACTCGGAAGACTCACCTCATCGTGTCTTCAGCCAATGGGTCACTCTGCTCTATCCGCCACCCATCCCAGGCATGCACGACTGGTATCCAACACCCAACCGGATGCATATCATCAGCGTTCGCTTCACGAGCAAGGAAGAGGGCATCGAACAATACGAGGTCGAACTATTCAGGACGTTCTCCGATCAAGTTCACTACGGAGATGTCAAGACACCTCGTGAGTTCACACTGATCATCTTCCAACCCCTCGTTGCCATGATCGAGCAGCCTGGGTAGCTTACCGATGGGGTCGATGCACTGAAGGCGGTCCTTTACGAAGACGGATCCATCTCACACTGGACACCTACCGAGTTCCATCCTCAGCCTCAAGAGGATCTCGACGTGGGCTGGGAGGTCGTACCCCACACCACCATCCCAGTCTATGACTATGTGGGTGTCCATGGAGGGTGATGATAGGATAGTTTGGTGAGTGGTCGTCAAGGGTCTTGCCAGTTGGAAGGGGGAGCTTGTGTTACGGTTTCAGCGCTTCATGGTCACGTGACAGTTTACGTTGCA